CTATTACCACCTGATTAGGTGAGAGGAAGCACAGTCGTGGGAGCTGCACCTGTTGAAAACGACTACAGTCTGTTGGAGGGAACGGCTGTCAGTTAGGTCGTTAATGTATGTATGAATTATACCTGGGAACACATTTAAATATAGTCAGTGTACTATTGTGTGTTAAGTAGATCGATTCACTTATACTATCTGTGAACATTATTTGCATGTGTGATGTTTTCTCATTGCAGGATGACTAGGTGATCGGCAGTGACACCCTGCGTTTGTAAGTACTTTGTTGATATCTTAAATGCTGTGTGTGTACTTACTGTGTCTTTGATTATTATCAGTGTGATTTATTTCAACTGTGTTCTGTGTGTGATTTTTGGGCAGTGATTTATATAGCTGTGTGGTGTAACCTGTGTAACCTGTGTTTTGCTTGTCTGCGCGACAAGGACGTGGTGTAATCTTTAAATTAATAATAATAATAATAATAATAATTTTTATTTAGGTAAAGGTACATACATAAAGAGATTTTACAAAGTTTGTTGACTTTATAGATAGAGCTAGTACATACAATGCCTAAAGCCACTATTACGCAAAGCGTTTCGCATTCTGTGAGAGTTAATTATGGGCAATTAACATCACCAAAGGCATTCACATAGATCTGATGAGAATACTGTTGTGTGGGACAACAATGACTGAGTTAACGTAAATCGTTCTGAATTAATTATCTGTCCATAGGACAGTAATTAATTACTCAAGCTAATTAGAGGTAATTAACATCATTTGTCGAGTGACAACGTTGTTGCATTAACGTAATTCGTCTCGATTAGTTATCTGTACGTTGGACAGTAATTTATCACTCAAGTTAATTAAGGGTAATTATCGTCCTCAGAGTGTATTCATGTTGTTTTGATTAGAACTGTTGAGAGTAACAGTATTGAATTAACGTAATTCGTTCTGATTTATTTATCTGTTTGTGGGACAATTAATTGTTCAAGGTAATTTAAGGATAATTAACGTCATCAAAGTGAATTGACAGTGTTGATATGACAAGCTGTTGAGAGTAACAGCGTATTAACGTAATTCGTTCTTGATTAATTATCTGTCTGTTTAACAGTAATTAATGCAATTACTCACTGAATGGTTGATGGACCAGGTGATTAAGAAATTATACTTTGTGAATTATTATTGTGACTTGTTTATTTGTCAGAGAGAGAGAGAGAGGGGGAGGGAGGGAGAGAGAGAGAGGGGGAGGGAGGGAGAGAGAGAGAGAGGTTTGTGATTAACGTAGATTACTTCTTGTTGACTGCCAGATGAGTCAATTAACGTAATTAATCACTCATATCAATTAGTGTAACTTTTATACTATTGTTTTGATTGTCGTCTTTGGAGATGAGTGTTAAAGTAACTGAAAGGGGGTTACTGGAGATTTGTCTCATAATCGCCTTACTCTGATTGCATTTAAAGTGAATTGCTGCAAGTGTTTTAATTTCAATTTGAGCCCTAAGTGAGCACCCATACTATTCAGTTAGCTCATTTATCAGCCCGAAGCGACGACAGACAGTAGTCTGTTGTTGTACTTGAGAGTGGCATAGACAGGAGTCTATACTACACTAGGCTGTTGACTATAGCTACCTTTAATGTGTGACTTACGGACATTAACGTAACGTCAAGATTGTTGTTTGGTATTAAATTTAATTCTTTATTGAATAAATTGTTATTGTTGCCAAGGAAACTGTCTTTATGTCAATACCTTTCAATATTATTGCCCCACATATCAACCCGTCCTCTTAAAAAATAACGTCGCTTTTGGCTCGTATGCGCTATGGCCAAAAGTGGACGTAATTTGAAATGAAAGTGACGTACTGTCTTCTGTTTGAGTCGTCCGGCTAACTCGGAAAGGTTAGGAGAGGAAACTTTCAATTAACGTTTTTCATAACGTTTTGAAACTTTATGAGAATTTCCTGCCACCTAACCTACCAGAGGATCCTTATTAACTAACTGTTGTTAAAAAAAATCCCAAATATATTTTCATTTTCAAATTACATCCACTTTCGGCCATACAGGCAAATGGGCAAACGACCAAGAGCGACGTTATTTTTAAGAGGACAGGTTGAACATGTTGAACTGTCCTGCGAATCTTTAATGAAGGCCTGTTTCTGGAATCGAACCCGCTTCACAGCCGCACACATGAAATTAATTTCCATGTGAGAACTCGTGAGTTATCCTTACTATTGAACTTGGCATTTGAGGAACTCAATGACATAGTGGATTAGGATTCCAATTGTTGGAGCCCTGGCGGTGGCTCTCGCCTATCTATTTTTAGTCTTAAAGTTTAAGCTGCTCAGGTACAGTTTTTTCTGAGTGAGGACATTTGTATGAATGTTCAAAATATCCTTCTTAGGGAGGATAATATCACAAAGAAAAATCTCACACAGTGAGTGTCGAAACAGAAATGATAATTACTGTTGGAAATTTCCAACACTAATAAACTACTATTGTATTATAATACATCATCATTATATACTAACTACAGTAGTTATTAATTTCACTAACGGTAGTGTTAACATAAATTAACAATTTTATCTGCGTATTAGTGCTAGAATTCTCATGAAATCGAGTAGCAAAATTGCGTCAGATAATGTCCAGTTGGACACGTTTATTCCCAATGTGTTAGAGAATTGAATGTGGTTCTCTAAAATTAACAGTATTCTGTGTAATAATTACCTACGGATAATATGACTCCAGATAATCTAAAACCGAGAGTTATTAACTGAAATTATTATCAGTAGCAGTTTTATCTGTTACGTACGAATGCTATGGCGAGAATAAAAATCTTCTCCATTTCTCGTTTAACACCATTAAACGAGAATATGATATTATTTAAGTCCCTATAATTGCAACCCAGTTCTCATTAGCGTATTACATCCATAATTACGCAGAAAAGAATTATCCGTGATTAATAATTTCTGTGGTGAATGCGAGAGACAGGTTGAGGGAGGGCGGAGACGCCATTGCACACGAGGCATCCCTGGCGATAAGAGTGGCGAGACGCGTGGTAGTGACTGGGGAGTTTTTATCAACAAGAATTACGTTGATACCTGATTAATAGTCAACAATTACCTATTCACGTGTTCTACAGTGCCCTGCCAGTTAATAACGCGTCAACAATTGAAGCCACGACCCGTAATTACGCGTACACAGCAGTGGACGCCTGGGACTGGCCGACGCGGTTTCGGCAGACCTTATACGCTCATGTTAAGTATACCATTCTCGTTTGATGCATCATTCTAGATTGTATATTTGTGGGTAGTCTGTCGTGATACCGAATGAATACCTAATACACAACGTTAGTTGATTTTCCACATTTTCATGAATACTTGAAATAATTCGTAGCCTAATCAAATGCTACTTAAATTTCTCTGATTGCAGCGTGTATACGAGGAGTCGACAAGTTGTTTCTCTTCATTCGTGATATTCACCTCGGGTTCTTTCTTTATTGGGATCCTGTGACCACGAGGACGAATGACGAAATGGCGTTACAGAAATCGTCTTACAGCTAAGACATTTATTTCGTACAAATTTATCTAAGATTATTACTGCTTTCCATATAATTCATATAGGATCTTTACAGTGAATAATTTATTGCCAGAAATTATGATTTGGTAATTAATGTGTTTGCTCTTACTGTTGTTCAATAATCCATAATCTTTAATATTCATAATTTGAGTTATCATATCTTTCAATCTTTTTTATTTTTGATTTGCTATGTTACTAACTCAACAATGAACTAGTGACGAACCACACTGGTTCCTAGATATATATGAACTTCTAGAAATACCCCCCCCCCCCCAATGTTGATATTTGAGGCTTTGACTTTAATTAATTAATAATACAGTCTATTCATTATTTTCAAGTGATTATTCATTTAATTATTATCCATAGACACTGGTTCTCTAGTGTCAATCTAATAATCACTATTATTCGTTTTTCCTCTTTTCTCAAAAGTGGGTGGTCTTTCGATTTATTTAAATACAATAATCAAATAATTGAATATATGAGTTCAAGCCCCAGAAATCCAACAATTACAGTGAGTAAGGTGACAGAAGCGACACAGTGAGAAAAGAGATAAAAGAATAGCAAACCGTGAGTGGAGAGACAGAAGCAGCACTTACAGTGCGTGAGTGAGAAGAGACAAGCAACACTTACAGTGAGTAAGGAGTTACAAGCAACACTTACAGTGAGTAAGGAGTCATAAGCAACACTTACAGTGAGTAAGGAGTCACAAGCAACACTTACAGTGAGTAAGGAGTCGCAAGCAACACTTACAGTGAGTAAGGAGTCGCAAGCAACACTTACAGTGAGTAAGGAGTCGCAAGCAACACTTACAGTGAGTGAGGAGTCACAAGCAACACTTACAGTGAGTAAGGAGTCGCAAGCAACACTTACAGTGAGTAAGGAGTCACAAGCAACACTTACAGTGAGTAAGGAGTCACAAGCAACACTTACAGTGAGTGAGGAGTCACAAGCAACACTTACAGTGAGTGAGGAGTCACAAGCAACACTTACAGTGAGTAAGGAGTCGCAAGCAACACTTACAGTGAGTAAGGAGTCACAAGCAACACTTACAGTGAGTAAGGAGTAACAAGCAACACTTACAGTGAGTAAGGAGTCACAAGCAACACTTACAGTGAGTAAGGAGTCACAAGCAACACTTACAGTGAGTAAGGAGTCACAAGCAACACTTACAGTGAGTAAGGAGTTACAAGCAATACTTACAGTGAGTAAGGAGTCACAAGCAACACTTACAGTAAGGAGTCACAAGCAACACTTACAGTGAGTAAGGAGTCACAAGCAACACTTACAGTGAGTAAGGAGTCACAAGCAACACTTACAGTGAGTAAGGAGTCACAAGCAACACTTACAGTGAGTAAGGAGTCACAAGCAACACTTACAGTGAGTGAGGAGTTACAAGCAACACTTACAGTGAGTAAGGAGTCACAAGCAACACTTACAGTGAGTGCTGAAGCCAGACCTTGACTGTCCAGTCCAGGGAGCAAGTGAGGAAGATGCTTGTATGGTGAGTGTTCCATGAGACGCTCCTGACAGCTGAGGTGTGTGCCGGGTAGCAGGTGAGGGAGTGAGTCAGCCCGATGAGGGAACACTGGAACACTGCTCCGGTGTCCATCCCCAGCAGGAACACACTCTCGTCACCCGGACGGAAGGCTATGATTGTGGCCAAACCTGCAGAAACACGCAACAAAATAAACACTATCACTATCGTCCTGAAGATCACATGGTGACGAGCCTAGATGCTGGCGAGATCCCTGACATACTCAAAGCAATGGGGATTGTGCTACTGTACAAAGGAGGTAGTAAAGCAGAAGTAATATATTATAGACAGGTGTGACCACAAGAGACAGGTGTGACCACAACAGTGTGACCACAACAGACAGTGTGACCACAAGAGACAGTGTGACCACAACAGTGTGACCACAACAGTGTGACCACAACAGACAGTGTGACCACAACAGTGTGACCACAACAGACAGTGTGACCACAACAGTGTGACCACAACAGATAGTGTGACCACAACAGTGTGACCACAACAGATAGTGTGACCACAACAGTGTTTATCTTCTGCTCTTATTGTAGTACCTATATTGACCAGTGGTGGGGAGGGTACAGTACCTGTATTGACCAGTGGTGGGGAGGGTACAGTACCTATATTGACCAGTAATGGAGCGAGAACAATAGTTATTCTGACCTATTTTTGAAAGTGCAAGAATATCACAGATGGGTGTCAACAGAGCAGGAAAGAGTGCACTAAGGGCAGGTGGGAGAGAGTGAGTGAGAGTGCACTAAGGGCAGGTGGGAGAGAGTGAGTGAGAGTGCACTAAGGGCAGGTGGGAGAGAGTGAGTGAGAGTGCACTAAGGGCAGGTGGGAGAGAGTGAGTGAGAGTCCACTAAGGGCAGGTGGGAGAGAGTGAGTGAGAGTCCACTAAGGGCAGGTGGGAGAGAGTGAGTGAGAGTCCACTAAGGGCAGGTGGGAGAGAGTGAGTGAGAGTCCACTAAGGGCAGGTGGGAGAGAGTGAGTGAGAGTCCACTAAGGGCAGGTGGGAGAGAGTGAGTGAGAGTCCACTAAGGGCAGGTGGCAGAGAGTGTGTGAGAGTCCACTAAGGGCAGGTGGGAGAGAGTGAGTGAGAGTGCACTAAGGGCAGGTGGGAGAGAGTGAGTGAGAGTGCACTAAGGGCAGGTGGGAGAGAGTGAGTGAGAGTGCACTAAGGGCAGGTGGGAGAGAGTGAGTGAGAGTCCACTAAGGGCAGGTGGGAGAGAGTGAGTGAGAGTCCACTAAGGGCAGGTGGGAGAGAGTGAGTGAGAGTCCACTAAGGGCAGGTGGGAGAGAGTGAGTGAGAGTCCACTAAGGGCAGGTGGGAGAGAGTGAGTGAGAGTCCACTAAGGGCAGGTGGGAGAGAGTGAGAGAGAGTCCACTAAGGGCAGGTGGGAGAGAGTGTGTGAGAGTCCACTAAGGGCAGGTGGGAGAGAGTGTGTGAGAGTCCACTAAGGGCAGGTGGGAGAGAGTGTGTGAGAGTCCACTAAGGGCAGGTGGGAGAGAGTGTGTGAGAGTCCACTAAGGGCAGGTGGGAGAGAGTGTGTGAGAGTCCACTAAGGGCAGGTGGCAGAGAGTGAGTGAGAGTCCACTAAGGGCAGGTGGGAGAGAGTGTGTGAGAGTCCACTAAGGGCAGGTGGGAGAGAGTGTGTGAGAGTCCACTAAGGGCAGGTGGCAGAGAGTGAGTGAGAGTCCACTAAGGGCAGGTGGCAGAGAGTGAGTGAGAGTCCACTTAGGGCAGGTGGGAGAGAGTGTGTGAGAGTACCTCCGAGGTCCCGCCGGCCGAGTGCAGGGAAGGTGGTGAAGGAGTGGCCGTGAGTGGCTAGGTCCAGCAGGTCAGTGTGGACCAGCCCGCCGCCCCGGTCCATGTGCCACTGTGTCACTCGCCCGTCCACCGACACGGAGAAGAAACACAACTCTTCTCCTGGCGAGGTGTTGGTCCACCGTACCTGGAGGGTGACACTAGTGAGGGAGATGTTGGTCCACCATACCTGGAGGGTGACACTAGTGAGGGAGGTGTTGGTCCACCATACCTGGAGGGTGACACTAGTGAGGGAGGTGTTGGTCCACCATACCTGGAGGGTGACACTAGTGAGGGAGGTGTTGGTCCACCGTACCTGGAGGGTGACACTAGTGAGGGAGGTGTTGGTCCACCGTACCTGGAGGGTGACACTAGTGAGGGAGGTGTCGGTCCACCATACCTGGGGGGTGACACTAGTTGTAACACCGTAAAGGTGTTTTGTTTAGTTTTATTTAATATATATATAGTACAGGAGTCAGCCAGACCGGATTTGAGAGGCACCATTCTGTCGGCCTGAAAGTCACACCTCTAGTGTGTTAATGACCACCAAGTGACCAAGGTCAGGTCGTGTGAAGTTGACCTTGTTTCTGCTAAACTCATAATTGCAGGCTGCTAGCCTGGGGGGGGGGGGAAGGAGGGTCCTTCAAACAAACCGCCAGTTTAAGGTGGGGCTTGGTAAGTAAGTAATTATCAAAAGAAGGCACCAAACCGGGAAGGCTATGTAGCACCATCAAATACGCAAAATAATCAGAGGGCACTAAATATCACCAAGGATGCCAATACGAGAACAAAAACGCATAAGGCGAACGATATCAAAAGTATCCGAGTCACCAAGAATTCTATCGAGGGACAGGTGACCGCGAGGGGCGGTCGGAAAGCAAGACACACGCTCGTCCTGGAAGTCAGGACATTCAAGAAGGACATGCACGACCGTAAGAGGGACAATGCAACTAGGACAATAAGGAGCAGGGCGGCGCTCCATCAAGTGACCATGGGTTAAGCGAGTATGGCCAATACGCAACCTCGCCAGAGCTGTTTCCCACTGCCGGTTACGGTGGAAGGAGGACAGCCACGAGGAAACACAACATTTAAGAGTACGTAGCTTGTTACCAGTAACAGACAACCAAGAAGCCTGCCAACGGGTAAGGACTGAGGAATGGATAACCGGGTAATAGTCTGAATACGGAATTCCTTTACGAGAGATGGGACAAGAGCGGACAGCTTCCTTAGCGGCAGCATCCGCACGCTCATTTAAAGACACACCAATATGGCTGGGAACCCAACAAAACTCAACCGACTTAAATTTACTGTGAACGAGAAACAGCCAATGCTGGATCTCGACAACTACTGGATGAATTAAATTAATTAATTTAAAAAGGACTATTAAAAGGATTAAAGGACCCGAGAGCCATAAGGGCACTACGAGAGTCAACAACAACCACAAAGGAAGACTGACAACGAGAAAGCAGGAGACGAAGAGCATAGAGAATAGCATAAAGTTCCGCTGTAAAGATGCTAGTCTCCGGAGGCAAGCGACACATATAAGTGCGATCAGGAAAAACAACAGAGTAGCCAATGTTACCTATCGTTCGTTACAGCTCGTGACCCTACAGCAGCCAAGCTTTAATTACGTCTAGGGATACGAGAAAACTGCTGTTCTCAAGAGCGGGTCACCAGTATAACCCCTTGATAAGTAATGAGCACATAAATAAATATCTTCCTTTAGGACTGAAGAATAGATACAAAATATTATATAGATATATATTCAAGACAGTATAATATAAAAACACAGATGGTCAAGTTAACTTATACAACAAACAAAAGGTATTGTCCTTCTCCTAATATAGTATAATAAAATATGGCACAACAAGAAGTAACAGACTTATCTCCCACATGTTACTCTTCCTGGTTCCCCGAAGCTACTGAACTCTCGCTCTGTCGCTACCCAAATTCTCACCTCCCGTCTGCCTCATCCCAGGATGAGGGATGGAAACTAAGGACTTTTTAATATTTAAAACTAATTGAACAACCACTTGTTCTCAAAACACACAAGAATGCAAATTACAGAATAGTTACTTACAAAATATATAAGTACAATGCCACCTGTTTAATTACAGTAAATAAATACTTATAAAAACTTAATAAAAGTGACATCTGGAACTCCCAAACTGAACAGGTCCAGCTTTCCCGAATTCAACAGGTATTAGACGTGTGCAAAGCAACCGCGCTCCTGTCTCCACTGACGCTGCCACACCACACGATAATTTACAAAAACACAATGTGTGTACATATACAGGCAATGATATAATAGAACAAAAAAAAGTTATTTTAAATTTATATACGTATTCTGCTAGGAGTACGTAACAGCCAACACCGTCCGCTGACTTAGACCCATCGGTGAAGACAGAAACGGAGCGCGAGTGAGAAGAAAAGTGCTCGAGGAAAAGGCGTTTTAGAACCGTAGGAGGGGTAAAAGCTTTAGTGACACGGGTCAAGGAAGTACAAAACCGCGGAAGAGGGACCCTCCACGGGGGCAAAGAAGGAACAACACGAGGAGAAACATCAGAAATACGAACGGGGAGAGAATCCTGTAGGCGAGATAACCGGACAGAAAGAGGGAGGTGGTGAAGAGGAACAGGAACCGCAGGAGGGGTAAAAGTTAAAGCACGACAGAGGCGAGAGGAAGGATGTTGCAAGGACCGCGCAAGATAGCGAAGACGGTAGCGATCACGGCGGTCCTGGAGAGACAGGAAGCCAGTGTCAACATACAAGCTAAGGATGGGAGTCGAACGAAAGGCACCAGAACTGAGGCGCAACCCAGTATGGTGCAAAGCATCAAGACGGCGAAGAGTAGAAGGAGAAGCAAACGAGTAAGCAGGGCAACCATAATCGAGCTTAGACAGGACGAAAGAGGAATGTAAAGCAAGGAGAGTGCGCCTATCTGCCCCCCAAGAAGTATGGGACAAGACCCGAAGGAGGGTAAGGGCCTTAGAGCACTCAACACGGAGGTAAGAGATATGGGGAGACCAAGACAAACGAGTGTCAAGGAATAACCCCAAAAGCTTCGTGGAATCTTTGTATTCAAGGGGATGACCATAAAGTGACAAAGAGGGACGAAGAACAACCCGTTTCCGCGTAAAAGTCATGGCACAAGTCTTAGAAGTAGAGAACTTGAAGCCATGACCTGTGGCCCAAGACGACACGGCATCAATCGCAAGTTGAAGCCGGCGTTGAAGGAGAGGCGAATCATCACCCTGACAACAAAGGGGTAAGATCATCGACATAGAGAGCGGAGAAGACACCAGAAGGAAGAGAAGAAAGAAGACCATTGAG